AACAAGATTGAATAATCGTTGGTATGTACATATGCATGTATGCATGTAGTCATGGTAACAGGAAAGGGTAAGCACCGCCAAACAACGACAATGGCGGGCGTTTTCAAGGTTGATTTTACTTGCTAGGAAATAGCGCAGACATTCAAGTTGTTGTTTTGAGGGAGAGGCTAGTTTTTCGAGATAAGGCATTACAAGGACAATTACCCGGCAGCTAACTTTGATACTGAGATTTCGGGTGTAAAATTTGCAAAAAAAAAACGAGAACAGTGGTAAATAAAAATGTATCAGAATTTAAGAGAATTTTATTCATTTAAAACACATGAAATTTCCATACTTACATGTGCAGATGCTTCTAAAAAAAGATTAACGAGCAAAAGTTTTTTTTTATTTTTGAAAATTGTTAAAAGTAAAAGAAAAAGATTTGATATAAAAAAAATTGTCTAATTTTGCTCATGACCTTCAAATATATTGCCAAAGAGCATAAAAAAACATGTGTAAATTTTTTGTACGAACTACTGGAGTTTTACTTTTTTATTTTTATTGTTTTGGAAATTCTAAATTTTTTTAAGAACTTTGTTTCCAAAAAATGTAAAATAGAATTTCTATGAAGTCGTAAACCGGATTCAGTTAAACCTATATATTTACATCATTTAATATTCATAAAAAATTGTATAAAAAGAACATCTAATAAAAAAATATGTAAAATAAAATAAAAGTAAATGCTTTTTTTCAAAATATTTAAAATTTTGCAAAACCGAATTCTAAATTTTCTTAGGCATCGATGAACCTAAATACTTTAATATTCATAAAAAATCACAACAATAAGCAAAAAATTAAATAACATAAAATGAAATAAAATATAATACAATAAAATATATGAAAACAAAATTAAAATACATACTTTATTTTGAACTTGGCAAATTCTAAAGCAACCGAAAAATATTTTTTATTAATCACTAATTTTTTAATAAAATTCTATTGGGGAAAACTTAAGGTTAAAATTTTTTTATTTCTTGGGGCAAATTTTACATGCCAAATACTTTTAAATACAAAATTTGTAAATTAATGTTTATAAAAATTTTATTTTTCTTATTTCAGGCGTATTTATAATTTCAACATCATTTGATATAAAAAAAAAAATTTATTTTAAGTTAAACACATTTGAAATCCGTGAAGACATAAAATTTAAATGCTTTTTTGAATTTCTATACATTTATTATCCTCGAAAGAAATTTTTCAATAAAAACAAGTAAACTAAAATCACTCAAAAATTAGAACATTTTTAAAATTAAAATGATTTTTTCTTATCTTCCTCCTCTGCTTTGTTACGTCAACTCCCATGGCTTACCATTTGAAAATAATTAACTAAATCGACAAATTTTAAACACCTCAGCAACTCGGCAGCGTCCCAAAGCGATGCAAAATTGTTGACTAAGCAACATCACCGTTATTGTCAACATTATTTACATTACCCTAATATATAAAAAAACAAAAAAAAACTCCACAAAAAGCAGCCAAAAGGCAGCAAAAAACAAATCGCTGCGAAAAACGATAGGCCAATAGTGAAAGGGTGGCAACATTCGCACCATTTCCAGCCAACATTTGAGTAAAACTTTGACTCAGCGACGGAGCAGCATTAGCATGAATTCCAGTTGTAACGGTAAAGAAAACAAAAAATAGAAGCAAAGCTCGAAGAAGCCAGCAGACAGGGCAAGGCACCGCCGCATCGAACGGCTGGTAAAGGCAGAGCCAACCAGCCACTGAGACTAGGCGGCCTAACGTTTGGCAAAGCAATAAAGTGACAACAGCAGCTACAAGTCCACTGAAGTTGGCACAGAGACAGTACTGACAATTCCCGCAAGAAAAATCAATGGCAGTGACAACGCCGAATGGGCGGATGGATGAACGGACGGACGCACGCATGGATGTATGACGTTGTTTGCAGGCAGGCAGCCATCTAGGCAGGCAAGCAGGCAGATGAAAACACTGTTGATGCTCGCTTTCCTTTTGCCTTTGCCAAGTTTTTGTTTTTGTGTGCGTTTTTTTCTTTTCATTTCTTTTATCTGTACACACAATTTTCTTTTTTATTCCTTTTATAGTTTACCTTTCTGCTTTTCATCTTTACGCTTTTTTTCAAGTTTCATTCTCTGCACTTGTCAATCATTTGTTTCTATTATTCCATTGTTTGTGCTCTTTCGCCCGAACTGTAATGTAAGTGACACACTTTTTACTACCTTCTGAACAATTTTTAGTGAATGCAACTATATTGTCGAAGAGGAGAAAGATAATGAGAATCGACAGCACCAGAGTACCTTTGTAGGTTTTTTTGTATCTATTGGCAAGCATCCGCCAAAAAATATGTGTCAAAATGTGTGTCTGCTAGCAATTATGATAGTAGAAACTTAAGGTAGTTGTAAAGTAAACGTTGAGAAAAAGGAGGACCTGGCAGACATAGTGGTTGAGAAGCCTAGGTTATTATTTTTCAGGACCTTGGCTAATCACGTGAAACCCCATTGACTTACTCCTTCTGATGTCTGTTTGTGGAAGCAGAAAAGTCCAAGAGATAACTGTTACTTTTGAGCACAGGTCATCAATCTGTCAATGTTCTGCCCCCTCCAACTACTGCCTCGCATCCACTTATCCTTAGAGTGGATGTGAGTGTAAAAAAGCTCTTTGGTGCCAGTCAGGCCACACAGTGATTGTTTCAGTTTCGTTGTCTAGGCTGCTGGACGCTGGCTCGATCTTTTCTAGGTATCGAAAGCCTTCAATAAATTTAACACTCTTAGGACCTTTCACTCTCAGCTGCGACAACGATTAAAGCCGCGAGTTTCATGGGTGCTTCTAGTGGTATTTACAGGGTTCAAATGGTCCGCGAGCAATAACGGAGTAGCAATGCCTTATTTCTCCCCTGCTGCGGAAAAGCGATTGGATGATAAGGCCTGTCTTTCTTAGGAAGGTTTTCCAGGTTTCGATGCTGAAATGGCACATTTACAAATTTAAAACCTTGGTGAGTTCGGCTGTCCCAATTGGACGTCAAAGTTTCAGTATTAGCATACATTTCCCATCGTAATCAATGGCTTTTGCCTTCCCTAAATAAGCAGCGCACCCGTTTTTGACAGTTTGTGCAGCGTTTGGAGCACCGAAGGGTGGAAAGGTGCGGAATAAGTTATTCGTTAAGGAGACTGACAGACCGCTTCGTGTGCGGAGAAAAGGACGTCGAATGAAATCTTGAATGGGCCACCATGCTTCATTAAATTGGGCATGCCCAGGTCTGAAGTTGCAGGACTTCAGATCCACTTGCAACGCTTATGTCGGTTTACCAAAAAATTTTCTCAGATTTCCGCTATCCTCCAGGCGTAAGTAGTCACGCTCGTTTTTAGTACATCCTTTAGTGTTGAAAAGGTGGCAAACGAGCTCTCGGTAAGTTTTATGAAGCTACGAAATCAATTTTGGTAAGCGTATTTTTTTTATTTATGTGGTCTGCTGCAAGTACTGCTGGGAACGTCGTTATGTGATGTCAGAATATCGAAACGTCTTCTCGACATCGCTGGAATGGATATCTTCTCTCTCGTATTTCTGCTGACAACATTGCCCACAGGGATCCTTTTCGATTGCTGATTCTTCGTTATTATCTGTATCGCAATCCCGGTGTGCAGCTCAGCTAAGTTTCTGTGACAGTTATCTCTACTAGACTACTCTGTATTCTAATGTAATTGATTTGTGAAATCTGTGTTTGTCTCTCCTTCGTGAAGCGTACTGATCTTGGTGAGATTTTTTAGAGATCATATGGATCCATTGCATTTCAAACAATTTCTATATATTATTATTATTATTTTTATTTTTTTCAACAATTTTATAATGAGCTCGAGGCCATTTTTAAATGAAAAATTTATTGTGGAAAAGCATCAACATTTTGAAAAAATGGTAGAAGTGATAGCTATTTCGGAAATCACCACATTTCCTCATCAGACTTCTTTCAGTAGGATTCGAACCGACGATCNCCTCGAGCTCATTATAAAATTGTTGAATATAATTGTTAAATGGCCAAAAAAATAACAAAAAACAAATTTTTATTTTTTTTAATCAAGTTTGCTGGAAGAGATAGAATCATCGTCTACTTCACGGTAATTCGGTGGTGAGTTGTTGTTAACACGCTGATCCCATAAGATAGATCGTGTCAGCTGACACGTTCTCCATTTTTACGTCCGTGTGTAAGTCCGCTTTCCTCTAGTCACTCGAACCTAAGGCTATTAATGAAATTAAGCACTTTTGAAGGTGTCATGTTCCAGATTCTGGATGGAGATGATAACAGCTCGGCAAGGTGTACAAGTATACTTTGAGTTCTACGCAGACAATCGCATAATATATGCATCGAGGTTCCCTCCTCTAGCCCACAAAACCTTCAGTTCGTCTCTTCAGAGAGTCCCATTTTGTGTAGATGGTACCTCAGTCTGCAGTGTCTTGTCAGACATCCGGTGAGAGCTCTTAAGCCCTCTCTGCTAAGATTTAGTAGCCGCTCAGAGATTCCACGAGAAGGAGTTATGAATTTTTTGGACTGCCCCTTAATCTTTGTCGTGTACCATTGGGTTGCAACTTGCAAGTCCTGCCATCCCCTTAGGATCATTGCTGTGTATCCACTGGATGGACCAACGGAAAGTTTGTACCTAGACCACTGACGATTAAAGAGAGCTCTCGCTCTCTGTGCAACCACATAAAACCATTCGAAATTTAAAAATTAATTTTCTTTCATTCCTAGAGAATAATTCCCCACAAATCGGAAGGCCAATGATAACGTACGGGTATTTCCTAGAGGAATCGGTATTAGAGTCTCAAGAATCATAAAACTCAAAGGCAAATATATACTTCAAGGCCCGAAAAGAAAGGCAAGACTTCCTCATATTTAGCGAAAATATTATAATCTTATTTTAAAGACTTTTTAGCATACATATACATATGTAAGTACTTACATATAACATAAAACTTTAGAAATCTTTGCTTACCTTTAACTTAAAAATTCTTTATATAAATTTTCCCTTTCTCGCTTTCTTGCTTTTTTCGCTACTCATGAATATCGCAACGCACCGAAACCGGAAGCGTTGAGATTTGCAAGCATTGCAAAGACGCCGGCTTTAGCCACAGCTACAAACATACTCATACGTACGGCACGAACACGAACTAACTTCCGCTTGCATATATGCATATATTTAGATTTGAGAAGAAAAGTAAATTATCCACTTAAAAGTATGTTGCGGCGCAGTAGGGATAGTAACCGGTAGCACATGTGTAAGTTATTCCAAGTTGCATATATGCATGTACATATTTACTATATATACGAGTTTGTAAGTATGTAGCAATACTTAGGCAAAATAAAGCAACGCATGCACAAAAGCAGGTAATATGTAAGTTTGTATATATGCACTTGTATGTTAAGTAAGCATGGGATTGTGCGTTTGAGTCTCGGTTTATGCTGAAGATGCTGCTACTGCCACTTGTTTTTTGCTGATACTACCTTTGCTCTTCCGCTTCACCTTCGTCTTGTGCGCGCTTCCTTCGCCCCCTGTTCCGCACGCACACATACACATACACACACACACAGGCAGTTGAAGCACCTTTAATCCTTAAGCCTTAATCCCGGCTGATAACGAAAACGTGCAGACTGAATGGCTCCGCGCCGCTGCTACTATTGCTGGCCTCATTGAAATGCAACGGCAGCGATGTTGCCGTTTAGCGTTGAATTTACAGCGGAGGGAAACGAAAAAGCGGCGATGATGATGCTAAAGCAGCTGTGCTGTTGAGGGACAGGGAAAAGAAGCCAAATTGTTAGAGCGTGTGCGTCGCGAAAAGAGCGGCAGACGAGCTGAGAGAGAGAGAAGGAGAGCGCGAGTAGTTGAGTAGGTTGTAGTGAGCGCGCACTGCTTAGGCAAAAAAAAATGTATGCTGCACCACGAGAGAGTGGATGCAATACACTGTACACTGCCTCTAAACGTGGGAATTTCACTTATCAAACGGCGAATTGTTCACTTTTGTTTTGTCCAGCTATTGTTTTTAGTTGTTGAAACAACAAAACGAATAATTGCATTTAATAAGCGATGCGTAAACGCACTTTCTTTTGGGCACTGTATCCACCAGTTGGGGAGCCACCGAGCTATTGTTGGCCGACGACTCTGTTGATTTAATGCTTGGGAGTGCTGTGGTGAGCCGGTTTGTGTTCGAGGCTTTGAACTCTGCACGCTGCGCTTGGGTGATAACAAGTATTTTTTAAAGCGAATATTCAACTGAATTTATTACAGCGGGTATTAAAATTCGCGCACTTGGTGTTGGCTTTAGATATTGTTGTATTTTTCTGTTATTCTGTTGCATTATTCATCGTTTACTTTTAGCGCATATTTTATTCTTACTGTCTCATTATATATGTATGTATATTTATTATTATTGCTTTCCTGGATCGCATGAGTCAGTTTTAATATTTTTTTACTCCAATCAGTTTTTGTATTTAACATTTTTTTATTTTTTTGTGAATTGTTTTATCACGTTATTCGCATACATATTACTTGTCCCTAAACGGTTTTAAACTCTTTTGCCTCGTTGCTTTGAGTACTGAAATCTGGAGAAACAGTATGAGAAAAATCATACCTTGACAGGAGGAAAGTTAGACCTAAGTTAGGAGTCATGAAAACTCGGGGTATTTTGTGATACCGCATGGAGGTTACAATCATCCACGCTCCCCTAAAACAATTAGGCTGTTATAAGAGGGCTTTGAATCCCCTCTTAGGCTGTTGACCGGCAGTGAAAAAAAGGTGTTTTAGTCTTCTTTTCATTCCATGCAATTTCTTCGTCATTCGCGTGGGGCGACATTCATGGATAGCCACAGTACTCTGGCAATTCGACATGAGGTTCCAGATTTGTGTTCAAAACGCTGCTGGTGTCAGATATGTACTGAGTTTCATGGTTGGATCTATTCTGCTTAAATAGCCCCCAGTTCCCCGGATTTAACGGACTTCTCACTTTGAGCGTTGCGGTCGCTGGATAACCAATTAAGCCCAAGCTAATTCATTCTAATAGAAGAGTTAAGTGTGGACAAATTTTAGACTATGAAATTGCCTCAGGGTCTCTGAAACACCCTTGAACTCAAGACCATTACTTCAACGATACTTCAGCGACTGTGTGTAAAAAACAAAAAAAAAGGATTTAAAAAGAAGACTTCGATGTTTTCTTGATTATCAGATTTGAAGGTAAGCAGATGAAATATCTCATTGGGAAACCAAAAGTAGAGGCAGTGGCTACTCGTTTTCATACAGACACGAAAGCATAGTTTCCAAATGCTGCATAGTAGCTCTCATCCCACTATTTGTTGGTGGTTTAAGCCTAGTCATTGCAGTTTTCCTTAGTTTGGTCCGGAATACCTTTGGCATTTAATGCATAAAAAATTACTATTTTGTGAAGGCATGCTGAGCAAATGACTGTGACAACCAATTCTGCCTGGTCTAACTGTATAAGAAATGAGTTTGCTGTGTGTATCCCACAAGCGAAGGGATTACCTTGTTTCTCGCTGGAGCCCAATTTCAGCGCAGGATAAAGAATAACACAACGAATTGCGGCTACCGAAATTGCAACTATATTCCGTCCAGTGACAACTGATGGCTTGGAAACAGATGCGCAGTGTTGTGCAGACCATTACCACATGCTAGACATATAAAACATGAATCCTAATTCTGTGAGGGTTAATTCTTGCAGACGCCAGCAGCGGTTCAAAAGATGTTTCGCATGCTGAGCTAAATGTGTCCGCTTCCAGTTTACTGAAATTCCTCATAACGTGGCGCCGGTAGCATTATGCCTATTAGGTTATGGTTATAGGGATTAGGCGGAAGAAAAGCGGTAAGGACTTTACTACCAAGTTTTTGTTGTGAAACTTGTCGAAGATCTACTACCTTTTTTGTCGATAATTTGACCAAGAACTTGGCGTAGGAAGCTTGCAAGTTGCGTCACCTCAATAATGAACATGTTGCGATAACAGAGAAATATTCGATGTATGCATGAGACTATTCTGACTCCCTGCAACGGAGGTGGGATTAGGAAATATAGCGGCTAAACAGCATTCAACACATTACGCCACCTTGTGAAACTAATTTGTGGTATGCGTCTTGACGTTGCTACACAAATGAAGGGACAGTTTTAAGCCGCAATCGAAAGGCAAAAATGACCGTAATTAGAAGGAAGCTTTATTTCAGATCTTGGTCGGAGCATAAATCGAAAGTGAGTCCTACCAGTCCGTAGATTGGTCATGGCGGCTCTTTGTTCGATTCTTCGTGGCTTGAAACTCTTGTCTCTCAATCCTACCGATGTGCGCCAGCCACAAATACGGCGGGATTGCTAAAAATCCATTAGGGCGTAACAGATAAGCTACAGCAACTTTCTTTATAAAAATTTCCTGCTTTGTCCTAACACCGTCTCTATAAGTTTTTCTAATTCACTTTACAATGCAAATTTGCAGCAATTTCTTCACCCAAGCAACGCTCCTAATATTTACACACATTTTACACCCAACCTTCCCTTTTTGTTTATTTGCATAAACGCTCTCTCGGCATGCTCTCTCCCAACTACTCGCTTTCTCGCTCGCTCTCTCAGCTATTTTGTGGGTGGCCAGCTGGCTGCTTCAGCGCTTGGACGGTTGGGCTGTGCCAGCAGGTGGCTTTGCAGTTGCTATTACATACTTTAATTGTTGTTGATGTCGCTGCTGCTAATGTTGTATTTTCGAAAACGTCAAGAAAGAAAGTTGGGAGTTGGTTAATTTTCGTTGTCATTCATACACACACAATTCTTTTTCCACGCAACGAAATTCGATTTTTCGCAAGTTTTTTTTCAGTGTTTTTATTTGAGCATTTGTTAAGCAATTTTTTTTTGTGGATTCACAGCGATTGAATTGCGTTTTTTCACAAGCCTCACATCGAAACGACACAACTTATTTGCCACACATATGTATGTATGTACGCGCTAAGGCTAGCAGCTGTCTCGAAAGCAGACTTTTCGTCTGTCGTTACAAGAGCGAGTTGAGAATCTCGTTTTTTTTTTTTTGCTTTTCACGGCGCCGCTTACAAACGGTATGCGAACTGATGTAAGTCGGTATGCAAAGCATATAAATTTTTGTGTATGTACTTATGTAAATACATACATATGCATGTGTGCATATGTAAAATTTCATGTAAATGCATGCCACATTCTACTCGCTGTACGTCAATGCACTTTGTAACTTTTAACTAGTTAACGCTCCTCTCCCACCATACACCACTCACTGCACTTACATACATTTTTGCTGTTTTTGTGGCTGCTGCTGTGAATTTTTCGCGAACATTCAAAACTCCGAACGTCGAACACTGTTGCTCAATACTTTTTAAACTTTCTTCTCGTTCTCACTTTACATGTAAACGCGATTTTTTTTTCACAAAACTAATCGCAATAAAATTATATTACAAATTGTATTTCAACACCGAAACGATCATTAGCATAAAACACAAATCGAAAATAAAATCCAGCCCAATCGTATGGACAAAAAGATAATTACACGGCGGCGAAGGCGATGGCTAAGGCAAAGGCAACGACAACGCGACGACGATACCAAAAACACAACTTCACTGATAGATGACAGCAGAAAAACTGCTCTTCCCCAACAACGATGAGTTCTATCATCACTGCCGTATGTAACGTATGAGCCGCTACCGAAGCAACAGTGAGCAGAAACTCAGCATACACACAGTAGTGGATATCAAGCGACACACACTAACCTACACACCGCCACTCTTATCTACAGTGCATGCAGTCGTCGGCGAGCCATGCCCATGCGAATGCCAGTTGTGGCACCAACAGAGTGGCAGCCACGAAGTGAATACACAAGCACACCTACACCTAACTACCTCACACCTTATTTTTATTTTTACCTTACTTGTGTGGCATGCGAATTTTCGTACTCTTCGCTCATTTTCGAGCGCCAACAATTTGGAATGCATACTCTTTTGAGGTCATCGATAGGAGAAGAAGAAAACATCATTCATACAATTACATACTATCATGCCACTTACGAGTACCAGCGATGGGCTTTTTATTGCGTGCTTGTGACGTGCTAGTTTAGAGGCTTGGCTACGAGCACGTCATGCACTCGAGTGCTCTTTAGTGAGCGCATGAAACTGTGAGTGGGTTCACTCTTTTACATTCGTATAAAAGAGTAAATGTCAAGGTATTTTCTATTATTAAGTCACACAGGGTGTGTCAGAGGCCATAAAAATAAGTTCAAAATAGTAGCTGAATTTATGTTCGTAGAACTTTATGATTAAGGGGACACGAATGGGCTGTAGAGAACTTTAAGCCTAGGTTCTAAGGTTAGAAAAATATTCAGCTGAAATCCTAGAAGTCAAACTTGTATGGCAGTCTCACGTTGAGCAAAAGACCCCCAAAGCCTTAACAGCGTTATGATAATGTAAAGGGTCTTTGGTAAAGCGTGGGGTATGTTACTTAGAGGAATATTGTGGTGTAGTGGAGCAGACTCTCAACTAATAGCGTGGGAAATCTACTTGCCAAACTTAAAATAACGATTGCAGTGTACTATACGGGAGCTTTCCCTGCAATACCTGGGGCTGATCTGGATGTCTTCCTAAACCTAGCGTCGCTTAATATTTTTATCAGCGGGGAAGCCTTTAAAGCCAACTGTAGGTTTTAGGTAGAGATTCACACTTGAATGCCTTTTCCATTACACAGGATAGTACGCCACAGTTCCCTGAGGCTGAGTACTGACAACCCCAATACCGATCCTTTGCTTAAACAGGGTGCTATCACCATCGATTCCATCATTATAAACTTTATGAATATTTCGCTCAACAATGACTGGGAGGCTTCGTGGGGCTGCAGGTAGGCAGAATTCATGTTGTCCTCAATCTAAGAGGGTTTTGCTACTGCTTGGGACTGGGCCCTTTTCGGAAATTGAAACTAACTTTAACTAGCCATGGAAACCACAACTATTTATTTTAATTCCGAGTTTTAGTCGGTCGCTGTCCGAAGAGAATTTACGCTATAGGGATCAGGCTACAAGTCTCAGCTATACCAAACGTTTTGAAGATGTCGAGGTTGAATCATCTCATTCTATCTATCCGCGTTGCACTTCGCTGGCCAAACTATAGCCAGCGTGGATCTCACCTCTTGGGTACATCTTTTAAATAATTACGAATGAAAAATTTACTTTGGAGAGTACCTAGAAAGCATGTAGCGATTCTCTTATTTCCTGCTTCTCTACCACACCTGAATAGGTGACGTAAAAGAACCTCCTTGAAACAACCAAAGCACAACTACTCAGTGACATTAAACTTATCTTATCCGCTCACTGCCAGACAGAAATTCATGCGATAGGAATAAAGACTGCTACAAGTCCTTCCATTGCCAACCGTCTTGAATATGTTGTTATCTCACCCTCCCTATATACCCTGCTCAGATTTAGACATTTAGACGCTAAGATTTAGACATCTTGGGAGTAACCACCTGAGTAGGTCTTGTAAGCTACTCGGAATGGGTAGCTTCAAGCTATCGTGGAACAATTATGACCTTATTTCTTGGGCCAATGAGATTTCGATCTTTAACAACCTCGTTTCCCTGCTTTTCTTCTTTCACATTAAAAAACAGGACATCTAAACACCTATTATAACCGCATAATTTGTCACCCAAAGTAGGCGGAATATATTAAATTTTACCAAATTCTGTGGTGATCACCGATAGTGTAACGGGAGAATGTTAGATGAATGGGAATTAGCTTAGAAGAGCAAGATTTCTGCTAGCTTTTAATAATAGTGAAGCCGTCACCGAACTTTACCTGCTAAGTTTAGCTAATAGAGCGATTAAATTTTACTTGGCAGTGTTTCGTATTTCAGAAGCGACGCGCAAAACCAATTTTTTCTTTATATTTGTTTTATTTTAATTTTTTTGACATTTCTTCATAGCGCAGCAGCTCACCTCGAATTAATTTTTAATTTTCTTTTCATTCAACTAATTCGTCACTAAACACAGAGCACTTGTTTTCAAACACTTTCAATCACTAATACTCGTACTCTCTTGCGGAGGAGTAAAAATCTTATAATTCGGAAGCGAATTTTAGGGTGAGTCAGCTAATTTTTTTCTTTTTATTTCTTTCATTCTTGTCTGAACAACTTTTTACTCCACTTTCCACCATTTATTTCACTTTACTTATTTAAAGCTCACTTGTCACTTAATTCACCGCTTTAATTTCCAAGGTACTGTCTTTGTGCAAAAATGCAAGTTCTATTCTTGGCTTTAAAAATAGCAAAAAAAAACGAACCGCAGTTTTTGCCAGTTCACTTTACACCATTCATTTTATCTTTAAACTGACTTATATGAGCACAAATACAGATAGGCTAATGGCAGATGTAAGTATGGGCATCCGTAATTTCTCATCTGGCAGATTGATCACAATGTGGAACCTCTTCAGTACTTCTTTTACTTTTTTCGAGCTATCGAGTTCACCTCTACCATGGCCTGTAGAATCAGATCGCTTTACGCTCACTAAAAATTCAACTTTAACATTAGCATTCCTACCGTATTTAACTTAATTTCATCTCACTACGTTTCATTTAAATTCACACGCCATTTTTCGTACCTTATTCAACTTTTTTTACACCTTAAATCACTGACGACTCACAGCGCCACGCATTCCACTTTGCTGCCAAACATTACGCTGAAACGCTTCATTTAAACTAAAAACTGCTTTTCATCAGCTGTGATATGTTTATTTGCTGTGATTATTTGACTCCCGACTCGCTCGTCCTTCTCCCAGTCAGCAGCAACGGCGCTACACTGGTAAGTTACGAGCACAAATCTGAAATTCACACGCTGATGCACTGTTGCACCTGCAACTTTATGCAACTTTAAATGCCATTAAATTCACTTAGACGGCAGATAAACTGGCAAAACCATGTGTGGAGTGTTTGTGCAGTGATGCTCACATATCTTACCGGTGAAGCTGTGCTACTGAAGATGTCCATTTCGCATCGGCAAACCAAGACCAGCAAGCCAGCTATTGAGTCAGCCAAATAGTCTTCTGTGCTTTACAAGTCTTTTATATAGCCATTGCAGCCTGCGCTGGTGTTGCGGGTGTGTGCGAGAACGTTATTTATGGCCAAGCATTTCGCCTGTAGACGGCAAGTGGAAAACGTTTTGGAATTTTTGTAAATGTGCGGGAAAAAGTATGTAGACATTGGCCTGGAGCCTAGGTAGAGGAGTTGACGAGCGTGGAGCTGGCAAATTATTGCACAAATCGTTGATGTTTTCCACTCTTGGTCTGCCTATACCCCCAAAACAAAACCCTCTCAAAGTTGTACGAGTATTGCATTCACTCTTTTCTCAAATCGTTTTTGTTATTGAATTTAGCATTGTTTGCTTGCGTTCAATTGCAGCCCGGCGGAATACCAGTTATTCATTCAATGCATCTTCACATAGCCAATTGTCAATTGCACGCAATGGACACCTCTCAATGGGCAACCAAAAAAAAATAAAAACAAAAAAGCGATAACATAGGCTTTTGTCAGCAAAACATTTTCGGACAACAGATATTTTCGACATAGTAAATACAATTGCCATTGCTGCTGAAGCTGTTGTTCACATAAATCCAATTTCACATCAATCTCAGGTGCCTCTAAAGCAGCTATCATCAACAGCTGTGACACCACACCACCTTGAGCTACACGCACACATAACACTCCCCATCATCGCCAGCGCCTGGCTGTCCCATCGTCATCATCCATAATCAACATCAGCATCCGTATCCGCATCCGTATTCGCATACAGCGTCAGCATTGATAGGAATGTATGTATATACATCAGCGTAGCCTTGAAGCTCTGTGACTCCATGATTACTACTGTCGTTCCGAGTTGGCAGCGATATAGCTTCTCACTTCTTGACTTTCTCATTTAGCACGTACGTCGGTCACATAAATTCCTGGTAGCCAGCGGGTAGCAGCCAGCAACATATTCTGCGCTCAACCTCACTGACGTCCTCATCCAGTAAGAGCCCCATTCACTGCCGGCCAAGCACTTTCTTTCGCTATGTCTGCCCACTTCACTTCACTACACGTCCGTATGCATGTTCATATGTGCTTTCACTGATTTGTCTCATGTACAGGTGTGCACGCTAAAGCTGGCCGAGGATATGCTTCCGTTTTGCCAACCATCGCGCTACACTACAAACACTGACGACCAATCTCGACTACAACTTCAGCTCAAACTTCAATATCTCTTCTGTTTATGCCTCTGCTGGTGTGTTGGCATTTATTTGCCTCTTCAGTACATCAACGATATTTGTTCAACGTTGTCTGTTTTTCTCCAGATCCTTGTGTCCTTCATTGTTTAATGGGTTTATACGTTTGGTCGCACACATCCATATGTGACGACGTTATGGCATGTGTTCGAGACTTCCGGAGTGGGGCTGGCTGCAGTCAGTGCCTGTATGTGCAAGGATTTAAAATACTGATGCATAAGTATGGCAACGTGTGAAAGGCTTTGAGGTGAGACATTTTTAAACTTTTTATTTTTACTGATTCTGACTACCTCTTGGTTTTTGAGAAATGGAGTTAAAGTTCGATTTTGGGAATTCTTGGATAGGGAAGCCAGTACGAATGTTATAGAGCTTGCTCTCGAGCCCTAACTTCTTAGGAGCTAGCCTCAACTACTAATTAGTAGAAGTATGTACTAAAAACATCCAAGATTTTCAACAGACACTACATGTCTAGCCCAGGGGCGCGTGAAATTATCAATTTCTTTGATTACATTAC